CAAGATGGTCTCGATCTCCTGACCTCGTGATCCACCCGTCTCGGCCTCCCAAAGTGCTGGGATTACAGGCTTGAGCCACCGCGCCCGGCCCTTTTGTTCAGTTATTTTTATTTGTATAAATGTATGAGTTACAAGGACAGTTGTCTGGACTTTTAGGGTATCCATCACCCAAATAATGAACGTTGTGCCCATTAAGTAATTTCTCATCATCCACCCGCTCCTGCCCCCTCACCCTTCTGAGTCTTGTCTATTATTCTCCTTTCTATGTCCATGTGTACACATGGTTTAGTACCCACTTATAAGTGAGGAATGTGATATTTGACTTTATGTGCCTGGCTTGTTTCACTTAAGATAACAGCCCCCAATTCTATCCATGTTGCTGCAAAGGACATGGTGTCATTGTTTTGTATGGATGAATAGGATATAGCCTAAACTTAATAGTATATAGCTTAAACTTTCTCAGGACAATGTATAAATAAGTGGGTTTTTCTTTCAAGTGAGATTCTCTTTTTCCTTAGTGGAAGATGTCCAGGTGTCTTGTTATAGAATTCTGACTAGCTTATATGCTTTGGGAACCAGCAAGAGTATTTATGTGGAGAGGTAAGAATTTTTAAAGTTTAATTTTGCATTAATTGCTGCTTCAAGTTTTATAACTATTTATTTCAAGAATCTTCATTTCATAACCTGTTTCCTGGTTATAAACTAAACCGGATTGACCTTTGAAATTCCTTGGAAGTAATTAGACAATCTTTAAACAAAATAAGAATTGATATAATAGAGGACAATGGAGTTATAAAAAGAAAGTAAAACACTAATGGTAAAGACTATACTTAGTGTGAAGTTTCAACTTAGAGTGTTTGAGTCTTATGAAAGCACCTGCTAGTACAGTTTCTCATTATATATCAGAAATTCAAAGTAAACATGAATATGAGCAGTTATTAAACTTAGTTTTATTTTCTCATGTTCTCAAGTTTCAGGACGGAGTGGTTTGCAGTGTTAAATGATGTGAATAGGTAACATAAGAAAAGGTATCCCCAGTAAATTTAAAATAAAGAGATCACTGGTAACTTTAGTAAGAAATTGCTGTGAACCAGAGAAGAAAAACAGGGAAGTTTTTTTAAAAGGCCAGAATAAATAAAAACATTTTCTGATAGAAGATTTAATTATGAATAGATATAAGGTCTCCCCAAATTAATCTGTAATTATAATACAATTTCAAACAGAAATTTGCTTTTTATCCAACTTCACAAAATCATTCAGAAGTTTATTTCAAAGAATAAACCCTTGAGACTAGCCGATAGAATTTGCAGGGGAATAAAAGAGTAATGAACAGGTACTCATTTGGCCTACCAGATATTAAAACCTATAAAGCTACAATAATTAAAATAGGATGACACTTGTACATAAAAATAGAAAATTAGATCAATGGAGAAACATAATTGAGTTTACTCTGAGCATTTTAGATTTTTTACCTTCATTTTAAGTAAACTCAATTTTCATATTATTTTATGGTTATGAACTATATTAAGGAAGTATAATTTATTGATATGTGACTTTATTTTTGACATGTTGGCTGTTTTCTGTTTTTCACTAATATATATATAATGCTAGATCTATGTTCCTAGATTCCATTGTATTTTTATACTTATTTCCCTTAGCTATATTCTCAGAATTTGGAATTGTAGGTTAAAGCGTGTGCCTGTATTACAGGATTACGGTACTCATTTCACTATGTTTTCAGAAAATTGATTCCATTTACATTCTCAAGTTTTAGAAGTGAATGCTAATTTCCTCACTTGTTCCTTACTCGGATTATCTTTTTTTCTTTTTCGTGCTTGTGTATGTGATCATTAAAATATAGGATTACTATTTATATTTTCAAATGCACTTTCCTGATTGCTATCTACTTGCTATTTTTTTTCATGTTTACCTTGCCATTTGTGTTTCTTTACTTTATGAATTGGCTTTTCTCATCTTGCATCTATTTTTCTATTAATGTATTGTCATGCTGATTTGTAATAATGCTTTTGTTTATTGAAATGATTTAACCTCTTGCCTATTGTTTCTCCTGTTTTCATGAGTTTTAGCAGTTTTTTACCTTTATAGTGTTTGTATATTAAAACTGTATGCAGATAGCATTTTATGACATGGTAATCTTGAATTTTTATATAATCAAATTTTATGTAATTTTGACGTAATCAAATCTATGAATTATTTCATGTATGTTTCTTCCCCTTAGTTTTATGATTCTGATAAGTTTAGACTGCACATTTAGCAGTTAGAATTTCAAACATTTATTCTCCTAGACTTTACATGCTTCCAGTTCCTTATATTTAACTTTTTAATCCTATTGTTTGTGTCCTAAATATTTATTAAATGCCAGATGCTGGGGTACAGAAATAAACAAGATACTTCTCTACTCTCATAGGTTTTATATCTGGTCGAGGAAACCAAACCAAAACAGACAAGCAAACTGATAAATATTACAGTGGCGAGGGATAGTTTGTCCTATGAATAATCAGACAATTTACAGAACAAGGTAGTCGAGAATGTATCTTTTAGAAGGTGACTTTCGCAGCTTATAACTTTTCTCTATGCAACAGAAAATAGGTAGAAGCTATGTCAGGTAGGTCTGTGTCTAGTAGCTTCTATTTTCTCAATGAAGAATGACTTGAGTCCTAAGCCAGACGATGGCTGAGAAAAGACATGTGGAAAGCTCGAGGAAAGTAGAGAATGTCTGGAACGATTATCTCTGAGATAAGAAGGGAATTTGCTAGAAATATATCTGAATTTTATTTCTCTTGGGTATTATGTAGGATTCAACTTAAAATTTTTAAAAATCATCAACCATGTGTAAAGTAATCATTTATTAAATATTTATTTTATTCCCTGATGTAAAATAAACCATCACATAGAGTAATATATTTACTAGATTACATTTAGAATTTCTATTCTGTTCTATTATTTGATTTTTTATGAATAAATCAGTGTCATATAGCCTGAATTGCTAGTATTTTAAAAAATATTTTAATATCTGTTTTTTCAAACCCTCTAATTCCTTCTTACTGCTGTTACTTTTATTTTTGTCCTTGTTGTTTTTGCGTATGTATTTATCTGGACAAAATTCGAGGTCATTTTTTTAGGTTCTGAACAATGTTTTGGTTTTTGGTGGCTTGGTTTTTAAGTCTTTTTTGTGCAACTAATTTTACAATTATAAAGTGATTGGGGAAAACAAAAAAAAATAAAATTTCAAAGGTAAGGAAAAGACATTTTGATAAAAATAGATACTTAGAAAAAGTTACAGTGGAACTTTTTCTAAAATATCTAAAAATGTAGATACTTTAACATAAGTCATCCAAAAGAAACATTGATATTTCTGGAATACCAACACAGATTATCAGAGTCAGTTTGAGAATCACTCATTGAAACAGAATTTTAAAGTGAATTAATGAAATAAAAGGACTAGTCCAATCAGATATGAGGAAAAAAGTTGACAGATAATTTTTTGCTAATAGATAGTTTAGCTTTTTTTCAAATGGTGAGGATATTGCTATTGAAAGCACATGATGTTTAGCAATGCAGAAACTGGATTTGGAAGTTAATTCATAGGAATATTATTCCTTTTAGGTTAAACTTGCTAACTGTAATATGACTTTTTTAGTTACTCACTTGGAAGACATTAAAACATAGGCATTTTCTACTTACAGGCAACGTTCTGCGTTAGGAGAATGTCTTGCTGCGTTTGCCAGTGCCTTTCCTGTAGCATTTTTGGAAACTCATCTGGACAAACATAATATTTACTCCATCTACAATACCAAGTCTTCACGAGAAAGAGCAGGTAACACAGAAACATGTGCAGTGCTTTGAAATCTGAAGCTAAAACTTGATATTTATCATATTGTCCAATCGTGATTTTTAATGAGCTGTTTCAGTTTACTATCTCCAATCTTGTTTGTTCTTAAATGTTATTTAGGTATTCTGTTTTTGGATACTATATTCAATTTCCCTAGTATTTCTGAAAGAAAATTCATTGGATTTCTTCTCAGTTAATGAGCCATAGACAAAACTCTTAAAAATAAGACAAAATAATAATCAAATATGGAAAAAATAGGTTGGTCTGATTTATGATTCAGTTATCTATTATAGTTTGTCAGCAGGGTGTATGCCATTTTTATTACTTAGATTTTATGAATTTATACTTTTAATTATTTCTTTTTCACCAGCTATGTCTACCTTATTAGGACAATTTTATTCCATGTGATTTTTTAATAGTTGAAGCTTTTTTCATGAAAACACTTTAAAACATAAATCTGAGAGACACTTAATCAATGACTTTAAATCTGCACCTGGCCCAAGTTTATGCGTCCCTAAGATTTATGTTTCCCTATATAGATAAAGAGAATCTACAGATCCTCACGATTCATGTTGTGTTTAGGAAAATCTGATTATTCACTGGGCAGATAGGCCCATTTTCTCCACTGTCCCAGTTAAGAAAGCTTTTGAACCCTTGCTGATGATTTCAATGGTTGGACTTTGAGAAGTTATTTGAATTATTAACTAGGATTTGAATTGAGTTGGATATACAAATAATAAAGTATAAACTAGTTATTCTTCTAATCAGTACTTTCAAGCAATCAAAGCACAGTTCTCATAGCCTGAACACTACAAAAGTGATCTCTTATAGAACGTTTTTCCTGTTTAATGTCTTCTAAGTCTGATAAAGTTTATTATATTTTAGTTGTTTTCCAATAGCCCTAAAGAGCTCTCACAGTTTGGGCAAGGATTGTTTGCTGTTCACAAATTCATACCTGTTTATTAGCTTATTTCTCTGTATAACTCATGTTTTTATGGGAGCTGCTGGTTATATTGATTTTACAGTGAATTTCATGAAGTAAAGAATCTTTTAATAATTCATGTAATCATTATTTGACTATTTTATAATTCTGACTTTATATAAAACATGAAGTTAAAGAAAAATACATTGAATGTGCTTTGTAATATTTTTCCACATAATTTCCACAATATATTTGTAAGTAGTTAGTGAAAAATGGTTGTTTGAGCTCTTAATCTTCTGTGTAAACATATAAAGGTTGCCTTATTGAGGCTTTTGATCAGTTCATATTTTTGCTATGAACCAATAATGAAGCAGATTTGTTATTTCATTACAGATAAGGAAATACACAAAGCAGATAATTTACCTGCTTACGTTTCTGTAATATCATTTGCCTAACAAAGTAAAGAAATTGAATGTAATTATTTCATTTTTCAGTCATTCAACAAATACTTGTTTGTGATGTACACTGTGGTAGATGAGGGAGGTATGATACAAAGATGAAGAAGACGATTTTTTTCCTCAGGGACTTTTTAGTGGCAGTCGAGGGAGAAAGATCGATAACATATGTGATAGAATTAAGAATAAAGAGCATTGGGGCCAGGGCACAATGGCTCACACCTATAATCCCAGCACTTTGGGAGGCCGAGGTGGGTGGATCACGAGGTCAGGAGTTCGAGACCAGCCTGGCCAACATAGTGAAACCCTGTCTCAACTAAAAATCAAAAATTATCCAGGCAGGGTGCCAGGCCCCTATAATCCCAGCTACTTGGGAGGCTGAGGTAGGAGAATCGCTTTAACCCAGGAGGCAGAGGTTGCAGTGAACTGAGATCATGCCATTGCACTCAAGTCTGGGCAGCAGAGCAATGCACTGTCTCAAAAAAAATAATAATAATAAAAATAAAGAGTACTGGGGACAACAAAAAAGGCAGTTTTAGCCAAGAACACCTGGAAAGACTTCACAAAGCTGATACAAGATGAGTCTTGAGATTAGGAAGACTGAAACTCTGCTACATGAGGAGAAACTTCAAGAATTCTAACGTGGTGGAGATAGCGTTCAGGAGAGTAAAGGGTGAAAGATGAGACAATAATAGAAAGCCAGAAAGAGGGGAGGAAGGCTTTTTATGTCGGGTGAGGAGTGCGGACTTTACCAGTGGCAAATAGAATCCTTTTACTGGCTTTAAAAAGGTAAATGAGCCGGGCGCAGTGGCTCACACCAGTAATCCCAGCACTTTGGGAGGCGGAGGCAGGCACCTGAGGTCAGGAGTTCGAGAGCAGCCTGGCCAACATGGTGAAACCCCATCTGTACTAAAAATAAAAAAAGTAGTCGGGTGTG